TACAAAGCCTCCTGAAAACACAATTTAGGATTATTTACAAAGCCTCCTGAAAACTGATCAGATACATAGAATTTCAGAGCCTAAGATTACGCATATTTGTAAAGGCTTCAGAACTTAAATGCATTTCTCTGATTTTAGACATATCTAGGAACAAGCCTTCAATTGCATCAGTGTTCATTTAATGTAAACCACATTTCCCCTAGTCTCTTTGATGTCTTCATTTATTTTGTATGGGTTCTGTTTTGCTGCTGTTTGATGTGTTCATTTGCCTTTCTAGATTGTGCTATAGCCTATAAGCTCTTAATTATTTAACAAATGGTCAATAAGGACATAGTTACTTGGAATACCATGATTGCTGGTTATGTTCAAATTGGAGATATGATAAGCACTAAGATCTTGAAGGGATGGGAACAGGAATATAGTTTCTTGGAATTCATTAATTGCTGGTTTTCTGCAAAATGGGTTGTTTTGGATGCAATAAAGAGTTCGTTTTGATGGGCCGAGAACTGAGAAAACTCCCACTCAACTTTGCTTGCGGACTAAGTGCATGTGCCCACTTGCAGCCTGCAAGTTGGGGAGCAAATTCACCATCTTGTTATTAAGAGTGGTACATGAACGATTGTTTGTTGGCAATTCTTAACACCATGTATGCTAAATGTGGAAGAATCCCCAAGGCTGAACTCGTATCAAAGATATGATCAAGTTGATGTAGTTTCTTGGAATTCTTTGATTGCTGGATATGCTTTAATGGAGTGTGTATATGTGAAACACATAATTTAGTTACAGTTTCTGATATGTTTCTTTAACATGCTGTAGAGGCTGGAAAGTGAGCTGCCGAATGCAATTATGCGGAAAATTGACTTGTATAAATGTGCTTATCCCTAACGGAAATTTTATTACCTCTAATTTCACACCTTTTTCAGGGTTTCTAAGCTGAAGGAGTTACAAATTTCACACTCATTACAGATTTCGAAATTTCTTATTTAAGAGGTATTTTGCAGTTTGCTTTGTTTAATTTTTTTAGTTTTATTTATCTTTGAAATCAGAGCATTAGTGTTTGTAAGGGTATCAATGACGTATGTATGTATAATGTAATAGATGGGTATTTGCAGTTTGCTTACTTTTCCTTGTAATCTAAATCTGAGAGGATGTATCATGTTGGATAATGATAGATGGGTATAAAATATAAATGAGGATTGGGAGTATCTGTATGAACTTTGTTGCTATATACCTATGAACTTTGTTGTCATAGAGTGTTTTTGTTTTGTTGGTAATGTATCCTGTTCCCGTTGTACACACAAACTCCACTTCTATTGGAAATATTTCAACATTCAATTTCATTTTCTTTGGTGCAACCAAAATTAATGTCAATACATTTAATATTCTTTTTTTTTTTAAATAAGATTAAAAAATTTAAAAGAGGATGAAAGGAGATGGTAGATAAGCAATTTGGCAAATTGCACATGAGGTGCCATGTGATTAATTTAGAATTCCATCATAGTAGTAGAAAGTAGCAACAAAAAAATATAATAAAAATGAACCACTTTTAAAAGGGTATTAAGAAAGGCTGTCTATAATTAACATTAATCAATCTAAATAAAATCACTTATGCATAATTGCTACATAGAATCATTCTTGTCATCCACATCCCAACCACAAGCCCACATCATACAGGATAATAAACCAATTAATATATAGTTAATCTATACAGGATAATAAGATCTAGCAATGTGTAATAATGGTGAAAAAGTCCTGAATTATGAAACATGTTATTAATTAAACAACAGTAACTTTCAACTACCATTCCCTCTCCTGCAAAATCGGAAATCAAGTCATAATTAAACAAAAATGAAAAGATAAATTGGTTTATAAGTATAGTGATTAAATGAATATGATATCAGCACTAAATTTTGATGTTTGTTTCTTTATTTTATTGTATTATCCTTGAGGTGTGTGTGAGAGACCTAATATACATATATATATATATTTTTTTTTGTAGTCTCAAGCATTGACATGGCGGATTCGAAAACTATAGATACGATATGGTCAACGTGAGAGCAAGTGACGATGCTTCTAGGGTAATGCCACCTCCTTTAGTTCTAGTATTCCTACAACTAGTTCTAGAAATAAACGTAAAACATCAGAAGTTTGGAATTATTTTGAGATATATGTTGAGATAAACACTGAAAGGACTAGGTGTAAGGCATGCAGTAAATCTATGCATATGGTAGTGCCACACATGGGACTAAAAATATGAAGCGTCATATACAGAATTGTCAAAACGTGCCAACCATGATGTAGGGCAATATTGATTGATCATAATCATAGATTGCAAAGTAGAAAGATTAGTCAAGAGACTTTTCGTGAATATATGGCCTTATCAATTATTCAACATATTATCCATATCATATGTGGAGAATCAAGGAACTAGGAGAGTCTTTTCATTGTGTGTAATGAGCTTGTGCATTATTCTAGGAACACCGCTAAGGCGGATTGCTTAAAAATATTTGAAAGGATGAAGAAAAAAACTAAGCTTGAATTAGGGAGGCTGACAAGTAGAATATGCTTAACTTCTGTGTTTGGACTTCTGGTACAACTGAGGATATATTCTTGACAGCTCATTATATAGATGAGGATTGGGAGTTACAGAATAAAATATTGAACTTTTGTCTATTCTCCTCCACACTCAGGGGTTGTTTTGGCAGAAAATATCATGAATTTCTTGCAAGAGTGGGGTATTGAAAATAAAATTTTCAAATACTTTGGATAATGCAAGTAGTAATGATAGGATGGAGGATATCTTGAGGAACCAACTTTGTGTGCAGAATGCTTTGTTATGTAAAGGTGAATTTTTCCATGTGCGATGTTCTGCACATATCTTGAATCTTATGTTCAAGAGGGTTAAGAGCTGTAGTGTTGCTTTGAATAAGATTCGAGATAGTGTGAAATATATTAAAGCAACTGAGGCTAGGAGAATCAAGTTTGGAGAACTGCTGTACAAATGGGAGTGAAAAGCTCAATGGGGTTGAGATTGGATGTTTCACTAGATGGAATTCGACATTTTTAATGCTTGATACAGCGTTAAATTTCGTCCGTGTTTGTGGCTTTGTCAACAATGATCCTAGTTATAAATTTTGTCCATAAATGAAGAATGGGATAGGGGGGAGAGGATATGCAAGTTCTTGGAACCATTTATGATATTACGACTTTATTTCAGGTTCTAAATATCCTACAGCAAACTTGTACTTGAAATGTGTGTGGGAAATTCAATGCGTTTAATTGAAGAGAGTACGAGGGAGGATGAAGTTGTTAAGAGCATGGCAAAACAAATGATCCCAAAATTTACAAAATATGGGATTCTTATAGTTTTGTGTTGACGATTGCAACTATTCTTGACCCACGCTCAAGTTTCAGTTTGTGGAGTACGCTTTCAACAAAGTTTATGATTCAAATACTGCGTATGAAGTTGGAGATGTTAAGAATAACTTGCAAAAGCTTTTTCAAGCTTACGAGGCTAAATGTTGAAAGAAGTTCTGCCTCACCTTCAGTTGTTTCTCTGCGAGTAGTTCTACTTCTAGTAGGCGGGTAGATCCTTCTTCTGTAAGTCACTAACTTTTTAGTTTTATATCTTATGAAAATAAAGTATTGTTTATTGTTTAATTTTAACTTTTGACCATTAACTGTTTAAATGATGTAGGATTTTGACAGCTAGAGAGTGTTTTCATTTCCACTAAGAAATCCGAGTTAGATCTTTATTTGGAAGAGATGAGGTTTGATCGCGTCAAATATCAGAATTTGGATATCCTCGATCATTGGAAGAATAATCGTGATCGTTATCCGGTACTTACCATGAGGCTCGTGATATCATGGCAATACCAATAACATCCGTTGCCTCAGAGTCCGTTTTTTGTATTGGTAGTAAAGTGCTCAACAAATATCGAAGCTCACTTCGACCAAAAAATGCAGAATCTTTGATATGCACTCGAACTTGGCTATATGGATATGAGTTTGAAGGTAACATGTTAACAATATATTTCGTATATTTATTATTACATTTATTAATATTGTAGTTGATCATGTTTTTGTAGATAATGAGGTGAAAGATGATTCGGATGATGATCTGATGTGCCATTGACTGATCTCGAGACCGTGGAATCAAGAGACTCTATCACGCCACTGTGGAATGAACATTGCTGTCTTAGAAATTTTGTTGAATATTGGATTATGTATTGTTTATTTTAATTGGTATTTATAGTTATTGACTTATTGGTTTGTTTATGTGTAATTGTGTATTAGTGATTTTGTATTGTTTGTTTTGGTTGGTATTTGTAGTTTGTGTTATATGTTATTGTTTGTTATGTGTTATTTTTTTTTGGTTCATATTTGTTTATATTCTTAATTGAATTGAATTAGAGTAGTTGATTTAGGGGGTGTAAATGTAAAAAATTAAAACTGCAGGATTTTGGGGGTGTAATGTCATAATTGAAAACTGTTAGGGGTGAAACTGTCAAAACCGAAAGCTGGAGAGAGAAAAAACGGTCCACCCGTACGTATAGGGTAGGGCACGGGTCCAAAATACTGGACCCGTATATATCCCCCCGTTTTGGACCCGTACCCGTTTTACCCGTACCTGTTTACCCGGCCCGTACCCACCCGGCCCACCACCCGTTTTGCCAGGTCTACTAGGGACCCTTTTAACCCTTTTAGTATCAGGAATTACCTTTACCCCCTACAGTTACCCAACAGTTTTTTTTTCAGATATTAATCTATTATACAAATAATTTACATTTCCCCAAAATAAATATATAAATTACTTTGTAAACAAGAAATCGGTTTCATAATATTGCAGGAATGACCGCTATTATAAGTTTTTAATTTAAAAAATTAGATATAGGTTCCCCGAGAAGGCGAGAACATGCTATAAAAATTAAAAAGACGTTTCTGGAAGTTCAAAAAAGAGTTTAGTTTAATTTCCATTTTTGAAGCCTTTCTCCTTCTTTTTCTTTTTCTTCTAAGCATAGATAGACAGAGCCTGCCCTAAATCCAGCTTCAGTTTCTGTTGAAAATGGTGTTGATTGAACAAGATTCAGAACCTCAACAAAACCACTCTAAAGACACTATCGTAAACCCTCCAAACACATCATCCTCCGATTCAACTACCAATGATCACGGCGACGCCGCCGCCTCTGATGGATTCGAGACGGCGAGCGAACGTGACGTTAGTGACAACGAGACCGACGATGCTCAAGGTCTTGTAAACGACAGCGCATTGAAACAGCAGGTCAGTTTAGGTTTTTCATTTTGTTTGATTGAAATTTCTTGATTTTTAATGAATGAATGGATGGATGAATGATTTAGAAAGCGGTAACTGAGGCAAATGAGGCGAAAGTAGAAGGGAATAAACTTTTCGTAGAAGCGAAGTATGAAGAGGCGTTATTGCAATACGAAGTCGCTTTAAATGTGGCTGAATCGGCATCGGTGCCGGAAGAGTTGAATGAATTGCGTTCAATATGTCACTCAAATCGTGCCGTTTGTTTTTTGAAACTTGTAAGTGATTCTTAGAAACTTTTAATGGTGCAAGTTAAATTTTTGGAACAATGTGCACTGTTTGATAGAATATCACACTTGTTAATATGTTTAATTTTCTGAATGTTAATGCAAAGTGTTATCATTTGTGAAGATTTAGAATAGGTGAGTTATTGGGTGGTAATTAAAGTCTAGTGTAGAAGTTAGAATCTTGGTTGGTGAGCATGTTGAGATGACGCTAGAGATTAAACCGTAGGTGGGTCGTGTTTTTTATTTATTTATTTATTTTTTTGGCTTATTGAATGAGGTTAAAAGGAGGTTTCAGCTCTTAAATGTGTTTCAGGCAGGTTCTTTGTGAGTGGATTTGGTGGTTTTCTTTGTTTTACTGAATTTCTTTACTCCTTTGTTGATATGTAGTGGTATAGAAGATTAAATCTGTGGATTAGCATACAAAAGTAAAGCTTGAGACTAGAGGACTATTTTGTACAGATTTTGCAATGTGGAGCAGTTTGACTTCCAAATATTGTTGGGGAAGGAAATTAACATGGTATAAGCTGGCTGGTTGTGAGAACTGCTAAAGTAGAGATAGATTTTAGTATTTGAATCTTGTGCCTACAACATTCAAGCTACTGTGCTGTTCAAGTTTTCATGATTATTAGAGTTGTCAGAGTAAACAAAGGATAGTTAATGGTTAGAATACAGTTTCTGGTGTTGAGGTAGCTTCTTGATTCTTGGTAGTTTTGCACTTAAAAGAAATTAGATAGAAAAATTACTGAAAGTATGATGTATTTGTTATGCATGCATTCCCCTGTATCTCTGCTTGTCTGTGTGGTCTATTCTGCATGCCTGTTTTGCATGATTCAATCTGACAGGTTTCATGTTTCGCTGGTTTCGTAAATTGTTTTTTTATAGTAGTGCTTTTCACAAAATATTTGGTGACTATCAAGTGCTTGGACAGGAGTTCAAGTTCTAATGGGAAGATTTAGATATGTTGAGTTAGGGGAGTTTAATGGATATAATTCCCTTAAAGTTTGAATTCAGCTACTTTTTGCTTTTTCTTTCTCTTATTTTCTCTGTTTTATATAAAAGGTCCCTGTAGACTCCCTAACTGTGCATTGACACTAATATATTGTCAGGGAAAATATGAGAACACTATCAAGGAATGCACAAAAGCATTGGAACTAAATCCTACATATATGAAAGCTCTGGTGAGAAGAGCAGAGGCTCATGAAAAGCTCGAACACTTTGAAGAGGCTATTGCTGGTAAGCTAGGATTTGATGATTATTATAGGTTGATAATTTGTGATCGGTTTCCTTTTCTTTCTATCCTGGATCTTTTAGGGTTGGAGTTTCTGTAACTGTTTTCGTAATTGATGTTTATTTCCTTTTCGATATTTCTTCATTTTTACAATCTCAGATTTGAAAAAGATCTTGGAACTGGATCCAGCGAACAACCAAGCAGGGAAAACCATTATGCGCTTGGAGCCACTGGCTGCTGAAAAACGAGAAAAGATGAAGGAGGAGATGATTGGTAAGCTGAATGAGTGATTTTCTTGTTTGATACAGTATGGTCTTTTGTCATGTTGATGGAAATCTTGTTGGATAGCTGCATTTAAACTTCAATCTTGTCATGTTGTGTGAGTGAAAAGCCAACAATGTTGGTGAACAAATTTTTGTTTCCTGTTATCAGTGACTAATACATATGCATGAATGAATGACTTTTGGTTTTAAAAAGAAAAATTAAAAAAGCTATGGTGATTGTCTGGTCTTTAGATGAATCTAAGAGATCATTTATATTGCATAGGCTTCAGACTTGTAGTGCTACCATAAGTACCCATGGAGGTCAACCAACAGGTTACTTTGTCTTTGGGGAGGATTAATCACTGTTAATCTGTTATTATGACAAGCCAGACTTTTTATTGACGAAGTTTTAGAATAGGAGTGTGGACAGTTTTTACTCATGCTTCTGTCAACCTACTTCGTTAGTCCTCTTGCTCTTAATATGAAATTGTTTCTTTGCGAGCAGGAAAACTGAAAGAAATGGGCAACTCCATTCTGGGCCGGTTTGGAATGAGTGTCGACAACTTCAAAGCTGTTCAAGATCCAAACACTGGTTCCTATTCTGTACAATTCCAACGGTAGCTAGTTTGTTTCTGATATATCCCTATTTTCTTTATTGGAAGATAAGAATGCTACCAGTCTACAGAATGGTACAAGATACAATCCGGGGCCATTGTTTTATATTACAGGATTTGATGATCACAAGATGTTAAACAGTTATTGTTCATGTGATCTTAGAGATTTGAAGTGGCTTTTTTTTTTTTTTTCGAAGTTCTCTTGTAAATTGACAATCTATATATTTCTTGCTTGTGTTCCACTCTAGTATATAAACAGCTTTATTTGACAAGTTTATTGCCTATATAAATATAATAAGACGACTCTCCTGGAGTGTGAGATTTTGATTGTAAAAATGGCTTCATCAGTGTGACAAATGATGGAAAAAGCGGGGGCAATACTGACAAAATACAATGTTTGGGTACTTGATCAGTTGATTGTGATAAATGTGCGGTTGCCCTTTTCCCTTTATTGAGCCTGCTTGCTTGTTTCTGGGCATCTGTGACTTTTTGAGCTTGTGTGCTCCTTTTCAGGCGTCTGTGCCTTTGTTTGAGCCTGCATGCTTCTTTTGCTTCCGAGCCTGTTGCTCTCTTGCTAAGGCGTTTATGACTGTGTTTTGTTTGCTTTTTGGGCTTTTTGGTTCAGCTGATTGTGTTACTTTGTATCCGTTTTCTTTTGATATAAAACTTACTTACCCAAAAAAAAAAAAAAAAAATGTAGTTTCATCCAAATAGAAAGATTGATAAGTATCAAGTGACTCAAAGATTTTGAAACTATTAAATTTGTTTTTAAAATTATAATAGAATCTGAACTATTATATTTGCCTTTAAAATTATAATAGGATCTCTTTATAGTTATAATGATTCAATCTAACTAATTTTGTTGTTATGAAGAGGTTATAATTTAATAAATGTGTAGTTATAAAAATTAATGTTTTGATTTAGTTATCTTTAGTGTCAGTCAAACACTCGTAAAACAGCTTCGTCCCAAAGCAGGCTTAAGAAATGAGTATTGCTAGACCTTTGTGTTTAGCAATACGTTCTAGCCAGGGGTGCAAAAGAAAGAAAAAAGCCTGAGACAAGGTTCAATTCTACATATACAACTTCACTTAAAACTATTACTCCTTCAAAGTCTACTCCCTGGAACTTTAAACACTAATCAAAGTTTCCTGTACTGTGACTTCTAAATCAAACCAGAGAAGGGATTCTGAGGAGTCTGGGACGGCAAACTCTGATCGAGAAACGGATTCCTGCTTGGGTTTGTTTCGCTAGGGCCAGTTAATAGTAGCTGTTGTTGTTGCTGTCTTATGAAACTTTGTTGTTGTTGAAGCATATCTGCCATTTGCACAATTGTTGGGGGTGCAATGCTGCTGGAGGCATAGAATGGATCTTGAATGCAGCTAGCAGACTCGAAAGGATTCGAAGGCACCGCCCCCATGTTGTGTGTCACATTTGGATTCGCTCTGCTTGCCATTGCTTGATCGTATAGACTATCCAGCGTTAATTTATCTAGTCCACCAGCCTGCATTTTAAGTTGTGTGATTAGATATGATCCCCATGTTATTGTGTTTCAGTTTGCATAAACTTATAGAATCTGCTCGCGACCATTTGGATTTTCGTGCTTATTATATGTCTAATAAAGCCTATGAGCACCAACTTCCATCCAATTCGAACAGGATTTCAGAAAGATGCAATGTTTACCTGGAAAAATAAGTGTAACAATGACACATGCAGTATGGCACTCAGAATGACAATTCTGAGTGCCAAAGGATTAACAGAATGATTATGAAACAATGCATCCATGTGACATAGAACTAACCAATTTACTCTCTGCAACTGCAGCTCCATTAGAGCTTGGTGCTGTAACAAGTGCAAGCTCCCAACCTAGAGTTTGGCAGGCCTCATTGAAGTCATTTCCAGAATTCGTCGGGTATCCTGCAAGCATACATAGAAGAAGAACCATCAATGTATTTTTCCAAAAGGATCACCTAATGATTACTTCAGAGAAACGATAAAGAGCTGATCCGAAGTAAAACAATTCACCGGATGGGATAATCGCCAGCGCGAGGGAGTTCTTCTCCTCCAATTGAGATGCTTCTGAGTTTAGCTGATCCAAGCCCTTAAAGAATAATAATATTGGCAAGTCAAGAAAGCAGAACATAGAACAATATCCTATTGATAAATAGTGATTTAACTCAAGACATTACTCACCAAAAGGTCAAAAATCTGATGCGTGGCTGCAACCTCACTCTGGCCGCTCCTCGGTTCAGGGGTGGTCGTGGATTCGTCTTTAACATCAAGATCTAGTAGATCAGCTCCACCTTGGTCACTCCTTGGTTCAGGTGTCACAGATTGGTCTGCTTCTTCTTTAACATTTGTATCTTGCTTATCGCTTAACAAATCACTTTCAGGAGCAGCAGCAACTACTTTCGGAGCTTCTATAGCAGGAACACCCTGATAACCACTAATCTGATTATAATTTTAGACATTAACATATCCAAGAGAACAAGCATAAATTAAACTTTCTCTAGTTTTTAGGAGTCGAAAAATTTCACTATTTTGCAGTAAAAAAACTATCAGATTTTAGTTATTTGTGACTCAATAATTCATTATAACCCGGTTTGAAACTCGAGCAGTCATTCTAAACTTAACAATAATCACCTAAAATTTTACTTCTATGTTCAAGATCAGAAAACTGTATATAATCTAACGGTAATCCTAAAAACAAAAGTGTTGAGACATCATACTGCTGTACTTTGTAACGCTAAAGAATGAGGAGCCTGCTGCACGTAATCTGCCATGGCAGCCAAAAAAGATGGAGGGGGCTGCAGCGTAATTGTCAAACAAGTTAATACAAGCTACTAAGAGATCAATTGACAAGCACAAACAGAGGTATGAGCTAAAAAAATATGTCGAAAGGTTCCATATACCTGTTCAATTTTAACGTAATTCTGCCCCCTCCCAAAACCAAGCCCCCTGCAGATCTCAAACAACTCGTTCAAGCTGTCTGCCTGCAGCAACATTCAAGTTTTTATAAAAATAATCAAACTTTCAAGTAGAATATGCATGTGTAACATGATATATTACACCTGAGCCCCTGACTTGCGATAAATTTCGAGCGCTCTAATGGCATCGTGGCGCTGCATCTCAAAATACTGCAACAAAAGAAAAGTCATTTCCCCTCAATTTCCATTTTGACAGATTGGAAGAACTCAAACTCCCACCAGAACACAGCCAAGGCTCACCTTGTCGACTAAATTGAGAATGCCATCAGTAATTGTAACATAAAGCTTGATACTCTCACTTACAACCTAAAAGAGGCAGAGCATAAGTAAAGTGAAGGGACTGATTGAAACCGAATGGCATCCAGTAACATTATTGAGCTATAGATTATCCTTACAATTGAAAGGGCATAATGAATCAAACCATTGTACATAGCTGCTCCCTCTGGCTGCACAAATAATAGACAGTATAAGAAATTATGTTGAACGTTTAATCGGGAAAGAAAGAGGAAAGTGGCATAATACTATTCATGAATACCTTGCAACCAAGAAGGCGAAAGAGAAGCTGTTGCAGGAAAGGTAACTGTTCCAGTAAGTCGGCGGTCTGCAGTCCCTTAGTTTTCTGTTGAACAAAGCATCATAAAGAAACAAAATGATCTTTCCAGGCTGCTAATATGAAGAACTAAATGCACAACACCATCAAGTATGTAAACTCTCATTCTGCCTCCCTTGTCAGACGTCCTCATTTTTCTAAAATCCGAATTTAGATCTCTCGCTAGCAAACTCCAAAAGTAATTCTTTTTCGAGGGTTCAAGTTCGGATTTTAGGTCTGCACTTGAGAATTTTTGTATAAACTCTTATACACATAATTAAAGAGAAATTACCCATATATTCATTGAAACATAGCAAAGAGGTAAAAGAGTTGAATTACAAACTGCATACCAAGATGCTTTTCTCGACATCATATTTCAATAAGCGAAAACATTCCACTCGCTCTTCAAGATACAAGGCGTATGTACGGACCCAGGCTGAATAATCCCATGCTTCACACCAAGAACATTGTTTATGGTCAGTGCATAATACCAGAAACCTTAAAAATAAATAAATAAGAGAAGCTAATTAAGAGAGAAAATGGAGTACCAACTGGACTTGATTCATCCCTGAAATGAGAGAGATTCAACATAAGACTTCTCCGGCTAAAATTTATCAGTTCTTGACAAAATGTAAGATCAACTTCCCTCAAAGCACGGTGCACAACTATCAAAGTCTTTAATGCAACCTGAGCATAAACAGTATGATGAAACTGATTGAAATTTAACTGAACATTAAGGAATCATATAGTACAAAAGAAAATCCGAATTTCAAACAGGAATATGAACCACCAATCACCATTAGGAATAACGAACTTGCAAAATAGATTTTGTTTTTCCCGACTTTGCTTCACCTTAATTGTTATACTCCAAGAAGTAGAAGTTATGTCTTGGTCCGAGTGGGATATTATTTCTCTTTTGCATATCCATTGAGTTTATAGAAAATTTAAACATCTTGGAGACAAATCAAGAGCTAGGAATTCATCAAACAAACCCCACTTTTATGTACCTCAGGAGTCCATTGATGAAAAAGGGCCTAATTAAGTTAAGCTTAACCTCAATTCTTATAGCGAGAAATTAAAGTGCCTAAAATTTCTAGAGAGTTATACATTTGGGTAATGGTAATACCATTCACTATTTCTTGAAGCTCAATCTTTCCCCACATAAAAGGGAGACTAAAATTCCTGAATCTTAAGTATATAGAAGTATTCATCCCATATTGAATCATATTCAAGAAATGCTAAAAATATCAATTTTGCAAAGCAATGCAGGAAAGGGGTAAATCAGCAAGGTGATCAAGAACATACCATCCAACAACGAGTTTTAGCAAGACGCCTGGAAAGACCTTGAATGCAGTAAGCTACATCAGGTCGAGGTCGTGAAGCTGAAACTGCATCAAAAATAGCTGAAAAATAAAAATAAAAATTGTATTACTCATTTTTCCAAATTAAAGTACAATTTCTAGGACTGCTAAATTTTTAATCGAAATTTCAATAACGCAATATAAATCAAGATTAAAAGCCAAAAATCAAAGAACTTTATGAGATTAGTGGTGCAAAACAGTTGGAAATTAACTCTTACTCTTGATATGTTTCTCTTTGGGCAATGCTTCATCATGGTTCGTGGCCTTAACAATTGCAAGATCCACCTCCTAGAGAACAACATGAACATCACTTTTAAGCACAAACGAACAAATAATGTATCCATTAAATAAAAGCAATTTCATCTCTAGTACGAACGTCTGTATACTTTCTTACAAAAATTCAATCAAATTTTCTCATATTAGAATTTTAAGAAAATATAATAAATAAACTAAGTTCTGGAAGTAAAAATATTACCTTATTATCACTGTTTAAACTCACCAATCCAACTTTTGTGGAATCCTTCAAAGCCCCAATAGCTTTTCTCAGGCTTTGCTGACTGCTAGCAGCCATTCTATTTCATAAAAACAAAAATATCCCTTATAATCCCAAATAAATTATACTGAACAAACCATTTCACATCAATAATTTAGTAATAATCCAACACCAACGTGTTAATTTCCTTTCTCCAATGAAATAAAACTCTACTATGCCACATCATAACTTAAATCTACTTAATCTTCTTCATAATCGAGATCAAAATACTAATTATCGAATAACTGACATGAACTAAATCAAATTCTTAATTTTACTTGAAAAAGAAATATAGATACATTTCTTCCCGTGCATATATTTTTGTTCATTGGCACGCATTTGCCCCTTTTTTTTCTTGTTAAATCAGTAAAATTAACTGGATAATTTAAAACTCAGAAGAATGTCTGTGAACTTAAAGCCCTACCAAAAAAAAAAAAAAAAAAATTGAAGTAATTGAAAAAACCATTAGTCAGGAGAATGAAAGATAATGTACATGAATATTACAAAGAAAGAATTGAACAAGCTTCATGAAACCCTAAAACTATTCACGTAAAGTGCTAATATAATCAATCATAACATGCAATAATAATTCTCAATGACAGTAATAACATGAACATGCATGCGTATATTTAATGTATTCATACATGAATGTATACGTATATGCGTTTATACCGTAATAAATACGTACATGTGATCACCGGCGGGAGCTGGCGGAGAAGGGAGATGACCGGAGAAGGAGAATGTGAAGGTTTTGTTGACGAGCTTCATAAGATTCAATCTATTGGTACGTGTTTTCAGGGGTGTTTTATCTACGTGTTTACAGGTGACATACATGTCATTTTGCACTCAGCTGTCATTTTATCATTTCTCCATATTGTTTTATCCAAATTTTGTTTTGAAAACTTTATTATAGTTTATAGTTCAATATTTAATTGGTTTGAAGAAATATTCCCAAGATCCAAGAGGTATGTAAATTTTTGCTCTACCCTTTTATTTGCAAAAATTACACTTACCACCTCTCCTGCCAGTTTAATAATGGTAAAAAAAAAAAAGATGGCTATGTGTTACGATTTTAAAGACATTCACAGTGAAAGTTGAGTGCAGCATTGTTAACAGTAAATACATGAATTGATCCTCTTACCCTGTTTTGATTGCTTTCTTACCCATGCATATTGCATAGTTGCTTTTGACAATTAGTTAACAGATTTAAGGGAGGGTTAGTGATATTTTCTGAAATTTAAGGGCAAGTCATTACCTTTCCATATTTTGGAGGTCTTGGTAACTTTCAGAAAACCTTAAGGGAGTCAAACAATAACACAGTTTAAATTAATTTCTTCGTAATTTTACATAGAATTGAACCAACTTCTCTGTTTAAATCAGTTCTTTTAATTTTATTTTTTTGATTTAATTAATAAAAAAAATCAGATTGTTGATTTCATAATTTTTTTTTAATTAAAAGTACAGAAATTACACTAACTATCAAAAGAAATAAATCTAACTGTATATTTCGTTCTAAAACTACCCATATTTGCGGTAATTAATTTTCTTAATTGAATGGTTAGTTGGTTAATCTAACATTACCTTAAAAATACTATATAATATACATATATTTTGCTAAGAAAAAATTGAAATTTTAAATATTAATTTTTCATCAATTTTCAACATATTTTTCCACTGTGTTTTCTTTTTGATGTGTTGATTTTTTTGTCAGAATTATAACAAATGTTAAAGTTGACATCTATTTTTAAAATTTAATACTTTAAAATTTTTAATTGTGACAGTAGTTTTTAATGGAGCAAAACAACCCCACCTTAAGTTTTAGACGCTTAAATAAACCGCAAGAGAGTATTAAGTATAACAATAATGGGGGATTTATGTTATTTTTGAAACTGTAAAGAAATTTTTGCAATTCAATTAAACGTCGAGTAGGCTGAGATCACTGAGACGTTAACCTCAAATAATTATCGTTAATCTGCCTCAAACAATCATTATTTAGAGCCAAAAAAAAAAAATATATCCCATTATTTGTTCAACAAAGAAATATTGTATCCAACTTCTGGTAAATTTAATACTTCATTGTCCTGTGTTTGTTTTAATATTTATATCCTATCTTTTTTTTATCTATATCAAAATTATTTGTTTCATTATTCTCAAAATCCATTTATTTATTCACTATTTTAAACCCCTTGTTTGTTTATTCAGCTAAACATCCCCTACAATAAACATTAAAAATTAACAAAACACATTCACACACCCAGATCTTTTGCCACATCTAGTCGTAAAAACAGCCAAGATGATGACCATGTACCAAATCTAGTCTTTTCGGCCAGATCTATCATGGATCTGGCCAGAAAATGTCATATTGACGCACGACCGATTAAATCCAACCAATCTTGCACCATTACGATGACTTTCGACCACCCTCCAACAGTGATAGCCGATTACCGATATTTAATAAGTAGATGAGATTATTTTTGTTAATTTTCAATATTTTATTGTAAAGGATGTTTAGCTAAATTAACAAACCTAAAAGATGTTTTGTTAATTTTTAAATCCTACCTTATTATAACAATCCAACTCAGCTTTTTCAAAAATAATAAAACAAACACAACCGTAAGTACAAAACTCTGGTATGAGGTATCTATTGCACAACATTATTTAATGAAAATTTGGGTTACAGTCGAATAATTTAGAATAATATTTAACTTTACAAATGTTAAATTACATTTTATTCGACTGATAATCAGATTTACCGAAACCTATGTGTATATTTTCTTGGCACCCAGCTGAGCCAAAACCCATGAAATGTTTAGAGTTTAATGTTTAGCGTTCTGCAGTAAAAAATGATTTTGTGGGTTTTAAACATGCCGGATCCTTTTGATCATGCTTGCATTGAGTCAGCATTGCCAACTTGATGTGAGAGATTTTGCTTCTCGGCTAACATGGTCGCGTGATGCTCCAAGTATTCTCTGCTATTCATCTCCGTTAATCTGCGGTGATATTGGTTTCATAGTCAGTGGTTACAGCGGAGAATAGTAACCATATCGAAATTGATCACTCCCACACCAGAAAATATGGAGAACCAGAGTACCATCGACAAACGTTTTACTCTAACAAAGTTTTGAAAAAGTTCTTGCTAAATCACAGGCAAAAAATTTGCACAATGAGAAGAAATGTACCTGCTAATGGTGCGGTCTTTTGCAAATCCCAATTCATTGTCAACGCAAAGATCTGACTCATCGGTTCTCCTAGATCTTGAGGCGGTTCTAGGTGCAATGTGCTGGGCGTCAGCAATTGTCACTATCTTGCTGAAAAGTTGTACAGGACTACCCTCGGCTGTACACATCAATCGGCCCTTGTTCTCATACATTACCTGAAACCACCAGAATAAACTGTAAAAAAGCATTTTCATGACAAGAAAAACACAAATAGACTACTCCTAATTTTGCATAGAACAAACTCATCAGAGAGGCTCAAGTTGGTAGATAATTGTATCATATTCCACAGGCCTGTGGTCGTCCAGCGGAAGAAAATTACAGTACCCAATGAAAAGCGTTCATTTATATTTCGAGTGTAAATATTTGAAGATTTAAAAACAACCAGATCAATAAGAAGAAATGGGAACATACATCAACCAAAGTGACAAACCGGTATGCCGTTGTCCTATTGTGGAGTCCAAATATTGGGACACCTTCCAAAGCTAGGGTATGAAAATTCTCTGCAAGAAGAAAAGAAACAAACCTGTATAAGAATTTGTCACCGAGATGAAAAGATGACAAGGGAAAATAGTTTAAGATATTGCATCAAAGGACACTAGAGACATATAGCATGCAAAAAGAAAGCGAAACCCACAATCAGGACAGCTCCTATCTAGCAACCACAACTTGGCAGATTTTCAGAAGTGTCATGAAAAACTTAAAATTGAAGTATGCAGAAATTATGTTTATAATGTACTATGTCAAACTCAACACATCAACAGAGCCAGCCATATCACATCTTGTAATGTATGGACAAACAAATCCTATTACAGAAACCACGATCCAGCCAGAGATCGCTTACTGAACAATCCAAAGTAGTCTGCAGCTCCGAGAGGTCTATCACACAGTTCATCAAATTTGAAATATGCACATCCATTAGCACCCAACGGAACCTAACAGCATTGGAACCAAGAAAAGGCTTAAATAAGATCTAAAGTAATCTGGAGTTCACATTCTGTGCTGAAGCACTCGCTAGAACACACCTGCAATGTCCTTCCCATTACAACCTCAACCTCTTGTGGACAAGCTTCATGTTCACCGATCAATTCCTTAAATTTTTTCTTAAGAAGGTCTGACGAATCTTTGCCAATGAAGTAGAAACCTTGCTCAGCCTGCAGTTCAAAGACGAACACAAAGCAATTAGAAACTGTAACATAATAATACAAATGATCAGAGAGAAAACCAAAAATGAAGTTCTCCTGAATCATGAAAGAGAGAATTGTAATCATACCGATGTCAGTTTCCTATAATCTACTGACGAGCCAATTTCATGGACAACACATCTTTCCTACAATAACACAACTTTCCAAGTTTGTCAATGTCATAAAGTATAACAGAATTATAAGTATTCTAAGGTTCATGGGGATCAACCATATATACAGAAGATCCAATTTACATGATATAGTGTCCAACAAATGTACCTTCAAGGCAGCAATGAAGGGTAAAAAAAGATCCCTCTGTAATCCATTTTCGTAGAGATTGTCCGGAGCACGGTTTGAAGTGGCAACTAGTATCTACACTTGCCTCCCAACATATGGGTCAAAATATAACTCACGTCAGTTTCCAGCTAAAATCAATAGCCTCATACAGTATAGGGTAAGAACATTAAATAGATTTCACAGATTATATATCACATACAACACCATTACTGAACAAATGTCCAAAAAGACGATTCAATATCAATGCATCCGCAACATCAGTAACCTATGAAAGACCACAAAAAAATAAAAAAATCAACACAAACACTTATGCCATAACTTCTTTTTCTTTTCAGGTAGAATAATGGTGTTATAACTAATATACCATAAACTCATCTAGACATAATAAAATGGCCTCATCTGATATCTCCCCTGCAACAACTTCAAGTGGATCTGACACACCCATGTGCTTCTGCAAAAATTTGGCAATCAACTAGGTCAAGTTCCAAGGGAAATCAAGAAGTATAGGATGCAACTTATTGATGAGGGTATAATAACTGAAATATATTTATTGATTTTTTTGGAGCCACAACTAAGAGAATAAGCTTTATTGAACATCAATGGAAAAATTAGAGAAGACTGAATAGCAAAAGGTACCCCCCACAGTTCTTAAATAAGAAAATCTAGAGCCAGTTCTAGAGATAAGAATAACTGGCTGAAAAGCCAATTATCATCCAAGGAATTATACATTCAAATGCAAAATTCAACTCTATGAAACAGAGTGTAATTCAGGCAAACAAAAATGATTCTTACTTGATAATAACCGCCATTCAACAAATTAATATAAATCTGCATTAAAATAAATTACTACTCCGGTCTCTTACTTGCAAGCAGCTATGGACATTCAACATGAAGTCATGAAAATGAATCCTCTTCTTCCTCCAATTGCAGGGCCTGAGGAAATAAACATTGGCTATCAGCTGGGCCAATGTTAATATTGATGAGACCAAAACTATCACAAACTTCTATAATCCCATATACTATTTCCACATTTCACTTATATCTAAATTGAGTTTTTTCCTCAATTAGTCTGAATGGCAGAGTAATGTATCAAAATCACAGAAAAAATAGAGCATTAAACCTACAGTTGATGATAGAACAAGTCCATCAACATTGTCTTCCCAGTGCCAACTCCTCCGTAAAGATATAATCCTTTGACAGGTGAGTCCGAAGATTGTGGCATTAAGCGACTCCATAGCCACCGACTCCTGAAGACAAACAGATCGGTGACCAAATAGAAAAGTGTACTGTGAACTCAAAATTCATAAATATTTGAACATTCCTAGTCAAATTAAAACAGGAAAAAGCTGAATCTAACAAGTGGGAAACGGAATATTCACCTTCCAGTCTTCTCAGAAGATGCATAGCGATCTAACTTGCAGGCATCAGCTGATTCAACAAGCTCATCGTATAGTCTCTGAAGTTCTCTTAAGGTTCCTATCTGCAAAAATCACTATCAGAACATCTTCCAACAAGTCTAACCTAGCAATTTCCGTAAACAACTAAGTACACTGTCCAACCCCTTTAACACAAATCATGTAACATACAGAGCAATTCTGTTTGTGTGGCTGAATTGCACAAACTCCAAACATCTTTATTGGTCAAGAAATCTAATATTCCAATATCAAATCATGGAAAATTCTAAATAAAGAAAATAAATATTCAGGCAAAAAACCCTCTTATCATTATCCATTAATCGTGAAACACGGCGTAGATGAAGTTGAATATGCTATACCTGGCAAGTATCACCATCTACGAGCTCACCAGCCGCAATTCTTCTTTCATACTCCACAAGAGGCCCTGCTATATTCACCTCTGCATACAAACCAGCAAAACACAGAAAGTAACAAAATTTAATTCGCTTTCAACATCAATAATTAGAAAGGCAGGTTTAAAAGTGCTTTTGCCAGTCCGAATGTTCTTTCTTCATGCTCAATTTTTCTACATTCACAACGTCAGGGTTCTTACGCAATTGCTTTGGGCACTCCAAAAAACGTTTTTCTCTACCTAAATTTGTCAGATTCCATTAAAAATACTTTCCGGGGTAACCAAAAACACTTCTTCCGTAGAATATGCTTCTCTCAAAAACAGTAACCCGGATCCAAAGCAATCAGTCACCATGGAAAAGCACTTCCCAAAAAAGTACTTCCCAGATCCTAATCAAGTAGTCAACATGCAAAAGCACTTCCGACAGAAGCGCTTCTCACAAAAACACTTCTCACAAAAACACTTCCTAGAAAAGCACTTCATAAAATTAAAACAAAACAAACACAATAGGAGAATGAAAAAACGACCTGAAACGGTTTCTTTAGCAGTAGTTTCTGTAGACAAAGCTCTTGAAACCATGAACGAGTTTGGCCGTACAATTCCATTGATTTTTTCCACATTACTAAAAACACTATACCCAAAGCCATGAAAATGATTATGATTATTGTCAATCAAGCACTTGGGTATCCTCAAAAGACGATTTTGACCTCGTAGAACTGATCGAAAGTGGTGAACAGATCCCACTATTCCCCTCATCTTTCCCCCAAAACGCCACAAAACCCGTCGCTTCAATCAAGATTAAAACAACAGCCCCGCAACAAGCTTCGGAGAATTATTTGAAACAGAGATAAAATCATGAATAAAAAAACAGAGTATTAGTAAACAGAGAAATTGGAATAAACAAAAAAGAACAGAAAAAAGAAAAGCCAAAACGCACCGGATTGGCCGATTGAAGAGAGTTGAGAAAAGAAGCAATGGGGGAGAAATTGGATTGAAATGGAGAGAATAGGGAAGAAAGGAGGCGAAGCGTGAGTTTCTCAAGACTCAAATAAATTTGGAGGATACTGACATGCTGTACACGTCAGCTTTTGTCGTTTTGACTTGAAAAATTGTTTTATAACTTTGACACGTGATTATGACTCACGACTCACCTAATCTTAATAAATGGAGTTTATTATATGATTTTACAATTTAATCCCTAAAGTTTGAGCTAAGCTAAGCATCCAGTCTGGTATAACATTTTAGTCCCTTAAGGGTATTTTTTGTCTTATTGACAATATAACACGGACCAAAACGTTACTAACAACGACAAAAATATTACTAAAAAATTAATAAGAATTATACAGTTTTAGCTTTTTTACCAAAATTTGAGATCAATTCTTTTATTAATTTTATTGGTCAATAAGTCATCGTTAAATTACACAAGAAAAATAAATAGTGGCACTAAGATTTAATTTAATGGTGATTAATACGTGAATGCCTCCTCTATTGGCAACAGAACAGAATCAAGCTCAAGACCTCGAGTAATATATCCAAGAATAACTATAAGAGATTAGTTTGGTGGTCAATGATGTGTGCTCATTTCTTTGACTTTTTAGGTTCAAATCTTGAGACTACTTACATTAACATATAATTGTGTTTTACTCAGTTTATTAGGTTTGTAGGATATTCAATAGACCTCAGAGATTAGTTAAAGTATACATAAACTGACTTAGACACACCAATTACCCAAAAAAAAACACCTAAAAATCTTTACCGCCTCATCTAACCATTCAATAGTGGTTTATTATTTATTTATATCTAAGAGTAATACTACAGTTATCGAAGGTTGTGTACCGAATTTGTACACCGAATGACATGGTAAAATCCTGACTGTTGATTAATATTACCTGATAATGAATTAACGGTCAGGATTTTATTACGTCATTCGGTGCACAGATTCAGTGTGCAACTTTTGATGGCTCTATCATTTTCCTATATCTAAATAGAATAATATCATGATCAGAAAAAACTTTACCAATGGATTCTAACCATTAATAGAGAATGAAACTTATCTACAACATCATATAGAATCTTCAATTTTGTTCAAGATCAAATCACATAAAAAGTTTGAAAATGATATTAAATCTGATTTTATAAATAATTACAAAATATATCGTCTCTCATACTTTGTAAATTAAATCTTTTTTTTTTTATTTATATATATATAGATCCCGTGTCCTCTTGAGGTCAATCATTCTACACCATCAAGTCGTAAATCCGTTCTAATATTAATTATAAATAATATTTTTTGAATAAATAATATTTATTCTATTGAATTCGGACGTGGAAATTATACTCAAAACTATATTGAGAAATAGAAAGTACTAAAGGACATTAAAAGAAATATTCCTCCGGCTCTTTAAGGGGAAAGGTGTGGAAATTATTTGTGGGGATTCCATTCCCAAATAAAAGCCCAATCCTATGAACCCATCGCCACAAAAAGCGACTGGGGTCCACAAGTCTATGTTTACTTTGCAACGTGGCTGACGTGTGAGAATGGACAGACAGACGTGACGATTGATTGGGACATAATCAACGGTGGAAAATGCGTCTGTGAGCATTAAATATGACAGTACCAGATCCCATACCCCAAGTAGCAAGCATCTTGGACATTTGGGCTGGCTGTTTGGTTATGGGGATTTGTTTTCACTTCGCTTGAATCATCGTCCTGTCTTTGTGCTTCGTGGCTGTGGGTCTTTTTCCCTTGATACAGTTGTAAGTTTCTGAGTGAATAAAGTTTTAGATAGGATAAACATACCATTTCCCTTATCCATTTTAATAATATCATATTATCTAATAGATTTTATGAACTAATAAAAGAAAGAATTCTTCCCACTTATAATCTTAGTACACATTTTAAGACCATTAACAAATAAAAAAGTTATGAGAAAAAATGTGCTTTTTTTATTTATAAAATATTATAAAAACACACGTTAAGACAATCTTAAAAAAAAAATGAAATACATCTTTCACACTTTAATAAAAAAAATTATAATTTGTTGGATTTTTGTATATTTGAGTTTAACTTCAAATAATATTAGATGCAAATAGTCATGTTATTTATTAGAGAATTCATGTTTTTTTTTTTTTTTTTTTTTTTTAAATTAGGCTAAAACCACAGACTCCCTTCAAATATGTTCTAATTATGAAAAATCTTAATATATTCTATAATTATTAGAAACTCCCTTATAAAATATAAATGAAAAAAACCTAAGACTTGTTTGATAACTAGAAATTTCACAACGTGGTTTGTGATTTTCACTTTAAAAAAAAAAAAAAAATATATCTTTTTTTAAATAAAAAATTAAGTAATTTGAATCAACATTAGCAAATGGGTATAATAGTATTTTCTAAATATAGATAATGAGTTCTTAGATATGGCCATCTTCAACCTAAGTGTTGATTTCCATGAAGGCGATTTGATTGGTAAAGACAAGACCTTCACTAAGGTCATGCATAAGAATTTGTATTGAAAGTCTCTTAACAAATTATCTTGGACTTTGGTTATGTTGTTTTCCATTCATTGATAATACTAATTCGATTAATTGGTGTGACACAACCTTCACAAAGATCATATTTATCCTCCATGTCTAGGATATTTCAACCATTTTGATGTAACATGTCGAGCTCCAAATCATGTTTCAGAGTGATTAAAGAAGAAGGTTCCTACATATAGAATATAGTCGATATAAAAGTAGATTCATTATACTTTAGAAAATCATAATCACTTTCTTCTGAATTAGTCATAGTGATAAATGCCATAAAAAAAGAACTTCGCAGCATAATGATATGGACAGAAAACAACAGTTGTGAACACAAGACCAAACTTCAATTCCTAGGGTCAAGAAGTGGAAATTGAAGGAGGCTTTATCTTGGAGCCGTGAGGAAGAGTTTTGTTGAAGGTTGATGGAGTAACGTGGTACCGAAGCAAAGTTAGAGGAGGCTGAGGGTACTTGGACGACAAGAAAGCTTTGTCAGTCGGGGAGAAGATGGTGAATGTGGTGGTGTTGGAAACTGAGTGGGGTGGGATTAGAGAGGGAAGAGTCATCTGTAGGGTTAGCGCCATGGAGTTGTAGCCTTTATCGGAGATACAAGTGGAGATTTTTCGGATGTCGATTTTGGGTTCTTGGGTTGCATGGAGCTGAGAGAGAGCTGAGAGAGAGAGGAGGAGGAGGAGGAGGAAGGAGGAGAAGTTGATGGTTTTGGAAGCCATGAATTGAAGAAGAGAATATCAGAAGAAATTGGAGGCAAATTAATGGGGGAATAATGAAAATCTAGTGCGTTATTTATAGAGAGAATTATTAGTTTAAAGTTAATATCGACTAGGATTCCTAGTTTAAGTTAATGTTAATTATGTAAGGATAATTAGTTTGTAATAATTGAGACGGTTTCCTAAATTAATTCGGTGAAGGATTCCTGAAGCCAATCGTTAACTAAATGTAGTTTCCTATTTCCTTGTCACTTTGTCAGTGATTAAAGATAAAAAGGGGGTGATATTGTAAGTTTTTGAAACAAGAGGGGTGCCAACAATAGTTACATTTACTGTAATAATGCTTGTCATGCATGGGGAAATAATTTCGGAAATGGGAAACACTGAACTCAGAATATAAAATCATTAGAAAAATTACCAGGTAATATGATACACGATAAGCCCTAGTTAATTTACATTGAAACAAATACCTTCTTCAAGTCTGCATCGTCTGTTTAGTTCCCGGCAACTAAAAGACAAAAGCCCATTAACATTATTGGGTGATCATGTAATTATGATATTAAAATTATTGGATATGGAAGTTGAAATTGGTTTATTTTTTCATCACTTCCTTGATTTTTAAGTTCAAGATAACTAATGACTAATCCCCCGAGTGTTGAAACTGACAGCCGAATAAAAGCGCCCCAATAGCTGTCTCTATTTCTGTTTAAAGCCGCTCAAACTTAGGATCTCATAGAACCTCCTTGCCCCTATTAGTGTTTAGGACAACTCAAATTCAGGATCTCATGGAACCTCTTTACCTCTATTAGTGTTTAGGGTGATTCGAACTTAAAATCTTATTGAACCTCTTTTTGTCTTTTTATCATCAGACCAGCCAATGGTGGTTGATATAGAAGTTGATATAAGTTAATTTTTGTGTCATATATTTAGGTTAGATGACCTAATTATTTTATTAAATTAATCGCTTTAGTTAAAAATAATGTTAAAAATACAAAGTAAACATCTAAACTTTAGAATTTGATGTGACATTTTATTTATCAATATCTTACCTTAATATAATACTTTCGCGTCCATAACCGATACATTAATCAAAATACATAATTATGATCCAAATTTTATAAAAATAATCATACTATTTATTTATTTATCATTAAAATACAATTTTAATTATAGCCATGATATTCCAAATTTTTCTTATTACAAAAGAACCCATAAACAAGGAATCAAAGAACTTTCCAGCATGCCATATTGATCAATTAATATTTAATAATCATATAATTAATAATTAATTAANAGCATCTTGGACATTTGGGCTGGCTGTTTGGTTATGGGGATTTGTTTTCACTTCGTTTGAATCATCGTCCTGTCTTTGTGCTTCGTGGCTGTGGGTCTTTTTCCCTTGATACAGTTGTAAGTTTCTGAGTGAATAAAGTTTTAGATAGGATAAACATACCATTTCCCTTATCCGTTTTAATAATATCATATTATCTAATAGATTTTATGAACTAATAAAAGAAAGAATTCTTCCCACTTATAATCTTAGTACACATTTTAAGACCATTAACAAATAAAAAAGTTATGAGAAAAAATGTGCTTTTTTTATTTATAAAATATTATAAAAACACACGTTAAGACAATCTTAAAAAAAAAATGAAATACATCTTTCACACTTTAATAAAAAAAATTATAATTTGTTGGATTTTTGTATATTTGAGTTTAACTTCAAATAATATTAGATGCAAATAGTCATGTTATTTATTAGAGAATTCATGTTTTTTTTTTTTTTTTTTTTTTTTAAATTAGGCTAAAACCACAGA